ACAAATCCGCTCAAATAAATCGCTTACTACACGTTGTAAGCTGCACAGTTCATATCAAAGCTGTAGGCTAACAAGATTCAAACAAAATGTAAGACAAATTTGGATCAACACAACACACAAACACAAAAAGTACAAAATTTTATGCAAAATTTGGATCAAAATCTACCTTTTGATGAATTTTCACATGAACACGAAGGACATCAAAAAAATTCATAAACTCTTCAAATCTTTACTTTCAGAGAGAAAATCATGTAATTGAAAGAATAAAACTGATTCATGATCTAAAAACGTACACAATGAACATAATTTTAACAATCAAACGTCCACAAATGAGAGATTTTAAAAAATGGATCTAAGATGAATTATCAAGAACACAAAGAACAAAAAAAATTCTGAAAATTTATGTAGAACATGATCAATTCTTTAATCAATCTTCCTGCAAACATGCTCTGATACAAATTGGGTGTCCAATATCGATCAATCTTCATATGAATTCTTCAACTCAACAATGGCAGAATGTTTATCATGAAAGAATACTAGGAGTAGAGAGAGAGAAAGTCAATTCAACAAATCTAGTCAAACTTTATAAAACGTATTCTGATGTATACAATGAATCTCCCTACCAAGATTACAAAGACCTCACCCTATTTATAGGGTTAAACAAGACACAAGGTCAAAGTCAAACTATTCTAAAGAAAAGTCAAACATGATGACTTTCACACAATTATAGACAAAATTAACTTTCAAGACGAATACAATTTTACACTGAATTTCATTCCTAACATGTTTTGAGATTGGCTCCGTCTCAGAGGGAAAGATCGATATTTTCACTAAGTAGGTACGAAAAAGGTTCTTTCAGTTCGTTGCCTTTTTGGTTCCGAAGTTGGTTCATCAAGTTTAGTTAAATCATGCTCACGGCGACGAGCATACTCCACAGCTTTATGGAGACATGGAATATCGTTATTAGCAACAAATTCCCTGATTTATCGCCTCAAACCGTCGACAAAATGTTATATTCGATCATGTTTGGAAGATAAGAGTCATAAGAAAAAACATTCCTTTTGATTAAACTGAGTTTCATACTCAATCACAAACATGTTCCCTTACTTGAGTTCCAAGAATTCTTTCTCAAGTCTCTGCTGCAAGTCGATTGGACATAATTGGTCAAAGAAACGAATCTGGAAAGATTCCCAGGTTAAGCTTTCCCATTTATTTTCAATCAGGGATTCAAAAGTTGCATCCCACCAAGTGAGTGCACGCTCTGTCAACATTGCACTGGCATAATTCGCTTTATCTTCATTCAAAACTCGGGAAATCAGGAACACCTTTTTGTGTGTTGAATCCATTGCACCGCAATTACCGGATCAGAGAGTTTGGTGAATTCAGTAGTGCCACTACTCCGAAAGCTTTTAAATGGGACTCGTTCAGATTTGGGTTTTGAGGGATCATCCAACTCTTTCTCTTTACACATTCCTGTCTCTTGCTTATGTTGTTTAAAAGTGTATTGAACGAATGTCGTAATTCATTTCATTAATCATTCACCATGGGGAGACAAGGGTGCACCATCCTCATTCAGGTTGAAATCGGGAACGTTTTCTCCAACATCGAGGTTTGTTGGAGTGTGACTAGCATTATCACCATCAGCCATCATCCTAAAAGGTGTACACGTGAGAAGAGGATTAAAACAAATAGAGTATTAAACATTATCCTATTTATGGTCCCTTACCCAATCTAGATTTCTCCTAATGATCCATATCCCATATAAATCATCATCTAGTTACTATATAACATTCACGCCTAGTTTAAGTCTAGATACCATTTTTGATACCTAGTTCACTTAGACTATTGCTTTGATACCATAACTGTAACACCGCAGTTACATAAAAAACACTTACCGAACCATCATTAAATTAATTTAGTTTCAAAAACCTCAAAATACAGGATAACAATTTACAACCTAAGTACATAATTTAAAGTTTAATAGTTACATAACAAACCATAACATAATCAGCAAGGACAAGTCTACCCATAACGTACAAACTATATACAACCCAAAAGTAGAACATATACCTATACCAAAAGTAGGCTTCTCACGTCAATCCCTAATTGATCAACTAACCTTGTTCTTACTTTTGACAACTTGTCCTGAAAGGTAAGTTATAAAACTTAGTGAATTCATGTGGAAATATGTGGTTACGATATGTTATGTAAACGAACATACTAGGAAATGAAGAAGGACTTGAAAGAAAGTTTGCATAATGAAACAACAACAACTTATTTATACCACATAATATCATTTACGACATCGTACTTTAAATGTGGGAATCACAAAGAAATTTTCAACATAGAGCGACATCATTACAATCAACATCATCGCCGAGATCATGCAATATCAAATACCAATTAACTTCACACACAATCATGAGACTTGGAACCAAATCTGCCCTTCATCTCCCGGATTATGCAAAAGTCCTATGCTTACCCTCTGACTCCCACTGGGCAGTGAGTACGGCAGCCCCCCAATTGTCTCACCCGAATCCATGGGATGTCGACAATCAGCATCCAAAGCGCACCACAAGACAATATAAGCAATAATACAATTTGAGGGTATAATCAAGAACTAACAAGAATCATGGATGAACAAGAAAACAAATAAGCATCCATAATCATAAATACACCCATATGTCTATATAAACTCACAGTGTTGCTTAATCTTTTCAGTTAATCAACCTGAAAGCCTCGATCCAACTCCGTGTTTCCATAGTGCAAACACTTGTCACAAGATCCCAATGTAATTTATATAACCCCTGAAGTACACATACCAAGTATCATAAGCAAACATTACCATTTACACCATCTAAACTCTTTTCACTTGACTATTACACTTTAAAATTCCCTTGCACAACTCTGTTTTCAAGCCCTGTTTTACCATATAAAACCTCATAATCACCATATAGCATCAAAAATAATTTGTATCACTCTTTCCTATATTTCCAATGCCTCTTACCTCATATTTTTGTGATTTTATATGATTTTTCTAAAACTGAATTGTATCATGACTTTTTAACTCGAAAATAGCTATTGGTGTGGTTCTAATACTTGGTGAAGGGTATTCCTCGTTGTTTTTGGCAATCCTGGCCTTCGAAAGTTTACATATCTCGTGTGGTGATGCCTACAAGACTTGAGTCACTAAATGTGTACACACACAATTTAGGGGATGCCTACAAGACTTGAGATCTTAGAGTGACAGAAGCATATGATCAAACTTTAATGCACTTATTTTTGGAATATGGACTTCAATTAACAAGAATTGAATGTTGTATGTTTAAGACAATATGTACTACGCATTATTCTTTACTTTTGGATTTGGATGTTTACGTCTTACTGTTGCTATTAGACATAGTTGGCTCCACATTACTTGTATATGTACACATATTTTCTTTATGAATGGATAGACAGGAATTTTCACTCTTACTTAGTATGAGGAGACCAAAACCAACCTTGATTTCTCTTCCTTTACTCCCAATCTTCTTCCTTTTTTCCCTCCCCTTTACTGATTCTCCTTCAGTGGCCGAAAAAGAAGCAACTACTCTTTCTGATCACAAATACTAGCCCGCTCTTGTCGTTAATAATGTACGAAGTTTTATCCCCATCGAAATATGAAAATGGAAACCAGGCAATACTCTTCCGGGGCCGATTTTTCAAAATACATTGTCATGCTTACCAAGTCTCCGAGCACATGCAACCACCTTCGAATCCTTCGGAAATGAAAACATCTGATCCTAACATGTGGTCTTGTCTCAATGCGATTGTTCTTCAATGGATCTACGAGACAATTTTCAAAGATCTCCTCATCACCGTTCTTAAACCAAATTCTTCGGCGGCACAAGCATGGAATCGACCTACAAACCTTTTTCAAGACAACAAGAATACTCATGCAGTTTATTTAGAAAACCAATATACGCGACTGATGCTTGATGTTTTTTCCTCTATTTCTGATTACTGTCAAAAACTCAAATCTTTGGCCGATCAACTCTCTAATGTAGACTCTCCTGTCATGGATAACCAACTCGTCCTTCAGATCGTCATTGCTTTAAATGATATTTCAACACTGTAGCGTCTATGATTCGACAAACAAATCCTCTCCCACCTTCTACAAGACACGTACTCGCATAATCATGGAAGAAACTCAGAAGGCGAAACAAACGGGCGCTACAAGTAACAGCATCCCCACTGCCATGGTAAACTTTGTTGATTCTTTCCCGGTGCCACACCACCAAATCTTGACTCCCAATCGTTAAAACAACGTACAATTCTGGTCATCCCTCCAGCAGTCGTGGTTCTAGGAACACTCGTGCTGGCTGGAGTGGTAATGCTTGATGTCGGGGATGCGGCACACAACAAGGTCATGGCTATGGGTTTCCTCTTCACATCTGGTTTCAATCACGTTGGGCTAATCCGTGGAATACTTTGGATCCCTCTAGATGGACTCCTCCCCTATGTCCTTATCCTACCATTTTACCAGGCCCAAGAATGTTCCTCAGCAGCAGCAACAAGGCATTTTAGGGCCACGTCTACAAGCCTATATGGCCTCTCCAGTTCAACAGACCCATCAGCAGCAAGCACCTGCTTCAAATTTGTATTAGCCCACAAATATGAATGAGGCTATGAACACTATGACATTGTGCAAACCAGACAAAAATTGGTATATGGACACAGGTGCTACTGTTAGCAGATCACATTGTATATTAGGCTTAGTTTATTAGCCCGTATAGCGTTTGGCCCATGGCCCATCTGTTGTATATTTAAATGATTGTATTTTGTTTAATCAATTAAGAAAATTATTCTCTCTAATTTGGTATCAGAGCAAAATTAGGATCCCTTCCTAATTCCTCTCAGCCTCCTCCCTTCTTTCTCTCTTTCAGCGATCTAGGGCCGGCCACGCCTCCCATCGCCGCCTCCTCCTCCTCCTTCTCAATTGTTCTTGCCTTCCTTCAAACATGTCTAACAATCACACTCCCCTAAATAAGGTTTTTGCTATAACGAATATCAAAACCTACGTTCCTCTCATTCTTGAACTCAAACGTCTCAATTATGATGTGTGGAGAAAACTTTTCTCCACCTATTGTATTGCCTTTGACGTCATTGATCACATCGACAACTCTACTCCTAAACCCACAGACGAAGAACAGAAAAAGGTGGATTCAATCATAAAACTTTGGATTTACGGATCGATCTCGCAATCCCTTCTCCAAATGGTGTTGAAGAAAGACTCGACCGCGCTTCAAGTATGGAACAATCTCGAGACTCTCTTCCGTGACAACAAAGACGCCAAATCCATGCAAATCGATAGTGAGCTACGCAACATTGTGATGGGCGATCTCTTCGTCACCACCTATTGCACCAAAATCAAGGGACTTCCTGACCTGCTTGTGAATCTCGATCAGACTCCACAGTACCCGACAAACACCTTGTGATCTACACAATCAACGAGCTCTCCTCGAAGTTTGATTCGATGGCCAATATCATAAGGTACCGTTCTTCTCTTCCAACCTTTTTTGAAGCTCGTTCCATGCTTCTTTTGGAAGAACAAAGAATGGCTCTAATACGCCCAACACCCATTATGCCTCACACCGACAATTCCTCATCGTCCACTGTCCTCCACGTGAACAATAACGAAGGAAATCGTGGGATTGGCTGCCGGAACGACCACCGCCAGCAGCAAAGTCGCCACCGACAGCCGTCGAACCAGCCACGCTATGGTTGGGTGTACATCCCGCTACCGCCGCCGAGTCAGTCGAACCAGCCATGCCAACAATAGCCTCCGCACGCCTACTGGCAGCAGCTAACTGTTGGGCTGCTTGGTCCACCGCCCGCTGCCCCGTCGCCACAACCGGCACGCTCAACCATGGCAAGCGCCACCGCCATACAGCCCGGCAGTCCACTTTTCTGCCACTACAGACAGCAGCCAATCGACTGCCGCCGCCACTCCCCCATGGACTTGGGCCCCATCGGATCAAGCTATATCTCTCATGGAGTTGTTCAACTCGATGTCTCTAAATGACCCGAGCTTCACAAATTGGTACATGGACACCGGGGCAACTGACCACGTCCAAGCAAACTTAGGTATTCTAAAATCTATTCTTGAAACTCATGATACTCGTTCTATCCTTGTCGGTTATGAATCCAAAATCCCTGTAATGCACACCGGACATGCCCTTTTCCCATCACAAACCCGTATCGTCCTTTGTATCTTAGACATATCCTCATATCTCCCACTATTATCAAAACTCTCATATTTGTCCGTCAATTTAATCGTCAAAATAAAACTTTTATTGAGTTTGACAGTTTTGGTTTTACTGTTAAGGACTACAAGACCCAACACCCTCTAATCCGATATGATAGCGACGATCCCCTCTACCCGGTCAACCCCTCCAACCCTCAAGTGCTTCTCTCGATAGCTCACTCCACATGGCATCAACGGATCGGTCACCCCAACGATCAAGTCTTGAAGTCATTACTTTCAAATAATTTTATTTCTTGTCATAGTCATAAAACTAGTGTTATTTGCAATTCTTGTGAACTTGGAAAACATGTTAAGCTTCTGTTTTTCATTTCTAATTCCGTTGTTTCTCATGCTTTTGAAATAATTCACTCCGATGTTTGGACGTCACCCATCTCTGGCATTAGTGGATTGCGTTACTATGTTATTTTCTTAGATCACTTTACACATTACTTGTGGGTTTATCCTCTTAAACATAAGTCTGATGTTTTCATTAAATTTCATGAATTTTTCCATCTTGTTGAAACCCAATTTAATGCAACCATTAATCATTTCCAATGCGACAACGGTGGTGAATATAATAATCAATTATTTCACAACTTTTTTGCCTCTCAAGGTATCCAATTCCGTTTCTCATGTCCTCACACGTCCCAACAAAACGGAAAATCGAAACGTATGCTTCGAACCATCAACAATGTGGTTCGCACCCTTCTTTTCCACGCTCATCTCCCTCCCACCTATTGGATCGAAGCCCTCCATATGGTTACCCATCTTCTAAACATCTTTCCCTCCACAACCATCAACTTTGAAACACCTCACTACCGGTTGTTTCAAAAACATCCTTCCTACTCTCATCTCCGCATATTTGGTTGTCTTTGCTACACTCACCTCATCACCTCTCACAATTAGCCCCTAGGAGCTCTCCTTGTGTCTTACTTGGCTACCCAACTCATCATATGGGATTTCGGTGCCTCGACCTCTCCACCAAACGCATCATCATTTCTGGTCACATAGTCTTTAATGAGACAATTCTTCCATTTGGCTCGGTCACTTCGACAAACCCCCCCTTCTTACTCTTTTCTCGACAAACCCACCAACCCCTCCTACAGCCGAACCTACCCCCACCAGTCTAGCCACCCATCACGCCCGGCCTATCCCACCTACGACCGCTCCTCACTCCCCACCTCACACCTTGGCCCACACCGATGGCGCCACTCAGCCTCCTCCCTCTCCTCCGTCAAGTGTGATTCCATCCACTATTCGCTCATCTCACCCCATGACGACCCGAGCTAAAAGTGGTATCGTTAAACCCACTCAGCGACTCAATCTTCATACCACCTCCATCAATCCATTACCCCAGTCCTATTTCAGACATTACAGGATCCTCACTGGAGAAAGGCCATGGACGAGGAATATCATGCTCTTCTCAGGAACATTACTTGGAAACTTGTCCCTCAACCCCTATAAAAAAAAACTTATCCCTCGACCCCTCGAGGTCAACGTGGTTCGGTCCATGTGGCTCTTTCGCCACAAGTTTAATGCAGATGGCTCCCTTTCTCGCTACAAGGCCCGTTTGGTGGCCAATGGTCACAGTCAGCAGCAGGGGATAGACCGTGACGAAACTTTAAATCCAGTTGTAAAATCGGCCACCATTCGTACTGTCCTCAGTATTGCGGTCTCTCAGCACTAGCCGATCCATCAGCTAGACGTGAAGAATGCATTTCTTCATGGTCACCTTCAGGAGACTGTACACATGCATCAGCCATCAGGCTTCCGAGATCCACGTTTCCCAGATCACGTGCGCCACATTTAGCGCTCTCTGTACGGCCTTAAACAGGCCCCACGTGCGTGGTACCATCAGTTTGCACAGTATGCCCTTCGGCTCGGGTTTCAGCATAGTGGTACTGATACATCACTGTTTATATACCACTCTCCTCAGGCCACTGCGTATCTTCTTCTATATGTTGACGATATCATTTTGACGGCCTCATTCACAGAGTTTCTTCACCAAATCATCACCCTACTTGGTCGTGAGTTCGCTATGACGGATCTCAGGGCACTCAATTTTTTTGGGGAATTTCTACCTCACGTTCATCTACAGGTCTATTTCTATCTCAGCAGTAGTATGCCTCTCAGATCCTTGAACGCGCAAACATGGTTAACTATAATTCGGCATGCACTCCGGCCGAAATGGGTCATAAGCTTAACGCTGATGGCCCACCCATTCGTGACCCCACCCTGTACCGCAGCCTTGTCGGAGCTCTTCAGTATCTCACCTTCACACCCCCAGATATAGCGTTTGCCATTCAGCAAACCTGCCTCTATATGCATGATCCTCGAGAGCCATATTTTCATGCTCTCAAACGCATACTTCGATACATTCGAGGCACTCTTAACCATGGCTTTCAGCCATGGCCCTCATCCGAACTTAGGCGCTCTAAACCATGGCCTTCAACCATGGCACTCATCCAAACTTACAGCTTACTCTGATGCAGATTGGGGGGATGTCCGGCATCTCGACAATCCACGTCCGGATATTGCATTTCCGTGGGAGATAATCTTGTGTCTTGGTCATCCAAACGTCAAGGTGTTATCTCCCGTTCTAGTGTTGAAGCCGAATATCGTGGAGTCACGAACACTGTCGCTGAAACAAGTTGGATTCGTAACTTACTTCGCGAGCTCCACCGACCGCCCATGAAAGCCACAATCGTCTACTGTGATAATGTCAGTGTGGTATACATGTCGTCCAATCCGGTTCAGCACCAAAGCACAAAGCATATAGAGATTGATATTCACTTTGTTCATGACAAAGTTGCCATTGGTCACGTTCGGGTTCTCCATGTCCCCTCGAGCTCTCAGTATGCAGACATCTTCACGAAGGGGCTATCTCATTCTCTATTTTTGGATTTCAAATCCAGTTTGAACGTTCGCAATTCGGATGTTCCAACTGCGGAGGGATGTTAGCTGATCACATTGTATATTAGGCTTAGTTTATTAGCATGTATAGCATTTGGCCCATGGCCCATCTGTTGTATATTTAAATGATTGTATTTTGTTTAATCAATCAAGAAAATTATTCTCTCTAATTGCTACCTCTCATATGACGGCTTAAGACGGTACACTCACCATATTTTAATTTGATCAGTGTTAAAAATATCATCGTTGGTAGTGGACAGGAAATTCCAATTTATGGCTATGGACACAAATCCCTAGCCACCCCTCACCCACCCCTACAACTAAAAAATGTGCTCCATGCTCATCAATTAATTAAAAACCTTATTCCGGTTTGTCTTTTTTACTATCAATAATAACGTCACAATTGAATTTGATTCTTTTGGTTTTTCTGTTCATTCTTCGCATCCCATCACGCTACCAAATGGGCAACATCTTCACCAAAGGACTTCCACGTCTACTCTTTAATAACTTTCGAGACAGTCTCAGCGTTCGAGAACCTACCACTTTGACCGGGAGGGTATATTAGACAATATTGTATATTATTAGATTAGGCAAGTATATATTCTTGGCTATAATTGGCTACCATATCTCAGCCATAATTTGCACTACTTTGCTAGTATATGTACGCATATTTGCTTTGTGACCGGACATAAAGGAATTTACACTCTTATGGTTGCATGGATACATAACTAGTCTTTTATTTAAATGTGTATATCATTGGTTATAAGTTATCGTTAAGATATTAAAAGCAAAGTTTTAACAAATTATACGTATATGCTAATAAGTTGTAAACTTGAACTATAAAATGTTTTAAGAATTTGAGTAAATTGTTGTAAGATACGGTATAAATATCAATGTAGAGAATTTGGATAGCATATGGATTGTGTGTTCAAAATCTTAAAAATTACATTCAGAAAATGTTTATTCACAATACAACTAACAAATGAACAAACATCTCTAACTACATAAGAATCACAGCTTAACCAGCTAAGAAACTACTAAAGATAGAGAGAGAAAGCAGTGTAGATTTGAAATATAAAACTGGAATTATGAACGAAATAGCTTCCAAACACCTATAAATATGATTTGAGAAATGGCGATAATAGTCTTTCAATTCTTTGACCACTAGCTCTGCAACCCTCAAAGTTTCCCAAATAGTGAGGTGCGGTCCTCCGCTTTAGATCTTCAGATTTTAGACTTTTAAGCCTTTACAGAAATAGTCCCTCAAAAGTAAGACAA